GGAGGTAAGAGATCGGATCCTGCCAGCTATCGATTAATTACTCTCCCACCTGTTTTATGAAAAGTGGTGGAATCAGTAATCGCAGATTAACTGATACGATATTTTAAATTCTGCAGATATTTTCCAATGTTCAGCATGGTTTCAGACACAGACGATGTTACACCACACGTGCTCCTTGCTCGGGATTCATGGACCAGAGCAGCTGATGAAGGAGTCCCCATAGAGGTGGTTTACTCAGATTTTTCTAAGGTAACCGACAGGGTCAATCGCTTCGTTCTCCTCCAAAAGCTTGCCGTCTACGGTATCAAGGGTACCCTGCTCACCTGGTTGGAAGATTACTTATAAGACAAAACCATTAAAGTAAGAATAGCTAGCACTCACTCCGAAAGCTTGTGGGTAGCCCGTGGTGTACCGGAAAGACCCGTCCACAGCCCGCCACTTTTTTCCGTTTTAATAAATGACATCCTAGAACATACTTTATCACCGATGCTGATATTAGGAGATAATGTTTAAATATGGAGAGCAATTCTTTCAGAATCCGTCCTTTCCTATCTGCAAAATGATCTGAACCGGATCCACAAATGGGTAGAAAGGAATCAACCCCCACTGAACCCCACAAATTGCCACCTGCTGACGGTGCAGCTTAGGCAAAACACATCTTGGACGGCACGTTTTGCAAAAGGTAACTAGTGAACGAGACTTCAGTATCATGGTCCAAGAAAGTCTCGGCAATTCGCTTCAATGCTCGAAATCAGCAAATGTGGCGAACTTGAATTCGAGGCTTCTGAGGCGAGCTCTCTGCACCTTTGAGCGACGGCTAGTGCCACTGCTGATCAGTACATATCTTCCTCCCATTTATGATATGCGTTTCAAACCTAGCACCCATTTTTAAAACGAGATACTCGTCTCTTGCAGCACTCTCAATGAAGGGCTACCAAAGCGAAACGTATACTATCCGGTCTCAGTTACGAACTACGCCTTCCTTTGCTGGGTGTCTTCTAATCAGAATACCGACTGGTTCGAGTGGATCTCGTCCGTATATACAAGATAACAACTAAAAGCGATCACCCATGTGCGTCACTGTTAACCCTAGCCCCTTACAAACAAAGTCGAGACCATCAACTGAAACTAGTGACGCAACCCGTTTGGATTGTAGGAAGTATTTTTACTCACTTAGAAACTGTTCCCACCGGAATGCAATACCAACACAAGTGATGAACGCACTAACATCGAGACATTCGAGAGAATGCTAGACTTTCATCTCAGTGCTAAACGCTGCACAACAATGTGATAAAGTGCGACGTTTTTACTACTGATTATTCACGTTCCACGTTGGAACATTTTGATTTTAATTTTCTTGTACATTTGTATCCTGTGTGTCATGTAAAGTTATGCTTTTTATCCCATCTAACACTATTGAAAGATCGGACAATTGAAACCATTTGAAAGTTAACTCGCGATTACTGATGAGTAGTGTGGATTTTGTGCAATTTGGATGTAGTTCGTTGCCATCTGTCAGTGGGGTCTGAAAAGTCACTATTCGGCCGTTCCGGATTTATGACTCCCGTCAGCTGTGCGCTTAGGGAATGAGCAGTGCTATGTCGTTGTCGACTGTTAGTTATGCAGGTCCGGCGCCGTCATCCATGATTAAATGGCACAAGTCGCTGGCATCCGGGATTCGTGAGGTCGTATCACAGCAGGTCTGGTGGTCTGGTGCTCTTCCAGAAGTGAGGGAGCCTGCCCGACTGCCAGCTAACCGCTGTGAACTGCACCCAAGTAACCCGCTACTAACCTTCCTCGTGGCTGATCTGTGCATCAAGTCCCTCCGCACTCCCAGGAGGCCGTGGTTCTCGGTACCTATTCGAGGGTAAGGGTACGCCATAGTTGTTGCTGTACTTAACACTATTTCGTCGGCCAGGTAATCGGCCATGTAAGTGCGCCTGGCAAGATTAGTGGTAACTGTACTGAGGAGACAATGTGAAATACATGCGTTTACCAGACGTAGTGTAGGATAGTGTTGTATTATATTCATTGGATATTTGTTAAAATTACACTGTCGGACAGCTACGATACATCTGGGAAAACCTAGAACAGCTGATCGGTTGTTTGGTGACTCGTTGGCAGTGCATGTTATCAGGTGATCTTCATTGATCCGTGAAGTTCTAATTCGCTCCGATGGCTGTGCCTTTTGGGCTGCAGTGGACTGCGGTACCTGCCTTGTCTAAGTGACAAGCTGTGATAAACTCTGATCCACTCATCAGCGCCACGCGCGTTACCTACCTACAGAGAACATGGCTAGCATCTCTGTGCGTTCTCGCTCATAACCTAACAGATAAAATGAATAATCTTGATAACCCCTGGACGGTTGTATTTGCAGTTTCATGATTTATCAGCTACGCAATAAATATCTAGTGGAGGGCGGTTTAGACGAAGAATCTCCAAAAGTCGTGTTTCACTGAGCAAAAATCTGATCATCATGTAGCTTGATCTGAAACGTATTCTTACGTTTGTAGAGTGGGTTCATGGCCAGATGGACACATGTCGAGTGCCATTTGTTGCTCCAAGTTGCAGGTGCTCATACCCTGTTGATGCATGTTTAGCAAACGGACCTACCGTTTTACTGATCAGCTAGGCCTGTTTATCGGTGCTTATTCTGCTAAAGTGCAGTCTGTCGCATTTTTGGACCCAGTTATTATCAGTTTCCCACTGCCTAAATAGGTAGGACAACAACTCCATCAGACGACCACAATGGTTGAAAAAATGTGGTTTGAAACATAATGGTATCCTTGGGATCGGGTTATCAAATCCTAGCTCCTTGATCCACTTTTACTCAAGTACCCTGCATTTAGTTGCTGACATCAAAGCGGATTGTATATCAGGCAGTTTCTAATTGTCAGAATTAATTGGGATTGTTGGTGCTCGTCTTAGTGCTTTGCTTATCAAAAGATAATCCTCGTGTTTGTGGTAGCCGATCATGGAGCCTCTTACTTGGGATGGTTCCATTAGCGCAACCAACCTGCATCCTTATAATCTACAATCCAGCGTTTTCATCCTTTCCGTTACCTACCGAACCATTAAGTGTATCAAAATATCTGTGCCAATTTTGCAAGGTCCGAGTACTAAACCTGACTCTTGGTGTGTGAACAACAGCCAGAAACGATGGATCACAAAAGGAGAAAAAGTAACCAATAATTGTAGCAGTAGGTGGTTAAGGTTTGCTAGGAAGCACACAATATTTGGGTCGATGGATAGTTAGAAGCACTATTTAAACAAAGGCTATTAGGACGCGGACATGTTAGAAAGCGGCATAGTTAAAACCGTTTACTCTTGTTAAACCACACACATCAGACTCTGTGAAAACAGACAGAAAAGACGCTCATTCCATTACAATAATTGGATGACAATAAAACATGCTGGGGAAATCGTATTGCCCAACGCGCTTTTATATCCTAAGCTAAAAAAACCCGTTCGTATGATCGCTCACTGAAACAGAGCATGACTGCATCTCACGGTGGTAGCAGGCGGTTTGCAGTGTGTTTGCAGTTAAGTTGGCAAACAGACGTTGGCTTCTACGGTTGTCATGAACACAGAACAATGAAAAATGGCTTAAGCCGGGCACCAACCAGTTGCTTTGCAGGACGCCAATTTGACACAACCGTTCAAGTTCTTTCTCCATATTTTTTTCGGTCCATAACGCGGCCCCTCGCAATCCACCTGCTTAATTCTCAATCCGACTTGAGGTAGTAAATAAATATGTTTTGATTTCAAAGATTTGTGGACAATTTGTTGTTCTCGGCAGCGTTAGGTACGCCTGCTTAAGTATGGTCAGGACTGTGTAAACCTGTAAAAGACAACGATTATAAGCTGATTGGAAGAGCCGGAAGCTGTTCAGATATTGCCCAGGGGGAAGACTCGTGGCACACAACGAAGTGGAACGGAAGGTTTTATTTATTTACAAATAACACGCGTCAGTGTTGCATAATCAGATACTTCGCAAAATGATAACCCAGTGTCTTTTGTAAGCCGAGAAAGAGGGACTAGATAAGTGGTTGCAAAGGCACTTGGGTTAAGGAGCACTATGTTTAGAGCAGAATCGAACTGACGTGGGTAAATATACTTAAGAACTGTAAGTTGGGATGGAAGTTGTATGTTATTAGCGGGTCACGAAAATGTTCCACGGAGTGCATCGACATGATCGAACTTTTACTTTGTGTCCTGCATATACGATGTGCTGACAACATTAACAAACGTAATGCAATTAGCTTCGATCGCCTTTTCAGTAATTTCACAACGCGTGGTGTAATGGTCTTCTTTAGATTATTGCAGTCGCCCGATCCCCAGAAGTACACATTATGCTGACCGACTGTTATCGCGCTCGGGCGTAAAAGAACTGAAGCTCCGTGCGCGGATCGTTCAGTTGTTTTCCTGTTTTCAAAATTCAACGAGAACACTTGACAAGATTTTTCGAAAGCAGCAATGTGGAAGTTGCCGGACCAGTGAATAGCAAGAATGAGGCAATTCCACTTTTCGATAATAACTACGTGCCCCATTGACTACTGCATCAGTGCCTCGTAATTGCTTGCCTTTTGAGTGTCCAAAGTAACGTGCTTCAGGTGCAACTGCCAGGAAAGATGGAACATCCAGTTTTGAAAGCCGGCTGGTTGCTATCAAATGAATGAACTACGATCTAGACGTTGCAACTTATACTTGTACAGAATTTGTTAAACGCCTGTAGAAAGTTAGTTACTGAAGAACGGTTAACCACTCCAGGAGTTAGCAAGTGGCATATGCCATCGTTATGTTTTAATAATGCCAATTGACTTAGGACAACTACTTGTTGGTTAGCCCGTGGGTAAGGTCTTTTTCTTATCTGTGCAGGCGCAAGACGGAAGTAATCGCGGAGAACACAGTCGCACGCGCACGTGGTCTACCTTGGCAAGCCAACGATCTGGACGTGTTCCGATTTTTCAGTGGACTCAATATTGCAGACGGTGGTATCTGTTTGATGCTGAGCAAAATCGGTCGACGTAATGGGGAAGCATTGATACGTTTCACTGACCCGGAACAACGTGAACTGGCCCTTTGCCGTCATAAACATCACATGGGACAACGCTACATTGAAGTGTACGGAGCACACAGTCAGGAATTCATCGCATTTGCCACGAGTAGGTTTGGTTCTGCACACACTGAAACCAAATTCAGAATAACACATAAATCTTTGGGATTGTTGCGTATCAGTTGCTGTGAAAGCCATTATGATAAATAGGTCGTGTAACTGCATGCTTCTTATCGTTTACTCCTGCGTTAGTTACGTACTTTGCGGAGAATCAAATCACTGCCACTGTGTGTGACCCATTTGGTCGAGTTGATGCGCTTGATGAACTAGGTTTGGGCAAATTACTGGTTGCCGTAGGCTGCCTGGTTAACGCGTCACCACAGGCCATCAAGGTTAGGCTAATCTGTGAGAAGATCTATTTCTACACGAAGCCCGTCGAACATAAAATTGTTCTACCTGAATGCTGGTCACAGGTAGTGGATTGGAAAGTGTCTCGATTGAGTGTCTCGTCTCCTCACATAATGTGTAGCAACGTCAAGAATAGCAAGCGCTTCCGCAAAACAGAGATTCCTTCTCTAGCTCAGATCTTGTTGAGAACACAGTATTTAAACATTGGAAAATTGTATTTAATGGGAATAAAAGCTTGAGCTTTACATGACCCATAGGGTAAAAGGAGTTTGGGTCTGGTCTAATGAAAGGCCAATCAACCTTATAGCGGGTTGGACTCGCGTGTTAGCCGTATCTTCATCGGGCTTATGCAGCATTTAAACAGAATGTACGCCGGCTCAGAGCGTGACATCTCAGCATGCCCTCCGAAACGGCTTTGGAAAGGAAGTAGGTAGAAGAAAAAAAGAAATTCCATCCAGTAGAAGGTAGTTATATTAGGGAATATCGCGGTGTAGCTCGGCCAGATGACAGTCCAGGCGGGTCTTAAAGTCCGCCACAGTGGGTACCAAGACTTAATCGGCAGGCAGAGCATTCCAAGGTCGGCAGATTCGCAAAGCGAAGTAGTGTCGTCTGCAGTTCAGCCGACTGTGCTGATGTGTGAGCATCAGTGGGTGGCCAAGTAGGTGGGAGCCCGATTGGTGCAGTGTGAGTAGGTCGCCACAGGTATGTCCAGGGTTGGATAAAATCATGAATACAAGAATCAGGTCACCCCGTAGACGTCGGCACTTAAGCGATTAGAGGCCCAGGCACTGAAGTCATTGTGGATAATCTAGGTGCTTGAAACCTCGGACCAGTTTGGTTGCTCAAGGTTGTGGGGCTTCGAGTATACGTTGGTCCTTCAACAACCAAGGGCTCCAAGCCTGAATAGCGAACTCCAAGTAGGGTCGAAGAAAAGCGTTGAGGAAGAGGCGGAAATTGTTGGGGTCAATTTGACCGAAGGCTCGTTTCTGCAATCCAATCATGCGGTTAGCAGCAGCAGCTGCATTCCGGCAGCAAGCGGATACGGAAAGACTCGTCTTGGTAATGATACCCAAGTCTCTTTCGGCTGAAGAGATCTGGAGGATAGAAGCTCCCAGGTAATATATAGGAAAAAAAGCGGAAGGGCGGGTAGAAAGGAAGCGTCATTTCGAAACGTTAAGTGGAAGGTTGTTTTCTATGGACCACTGATATAGACGGTCGAGGTCCGTTTGAAGTGCGTGGGCATTGTCCGGAAGGTTAATTGTGCGCCACAGCTTCGCGTCATCCGCGTATATCAGCAGCGGAGACTCCACTTACGGTGTGACGTCGTCAATGAAGGCTAAAAAGTGGTGCGGTCTGAGAACGGACCCTGTGGAACTCCGCTTGTGGGAAGGATGCGTGGAGACAACGCTCCTTCGACGCGTAGTTGGAAGGTACGGTTTTGAAGGTAGTTCCGGATCCAGTCCATCAAGGCCCCTGAAACGCCGTAAGACAACAGTTTCTGCAGTAGAATCTTGTGGTCGACCTTGTCGAAGGCTTTGGCGAAATCCAGGAATATAACATGCGTTTCTAGGCCAGAGTCGGCAGCAGTCGTACAGCTGTCCCTGGCAAGTAGCGTTCCAAAGGGTAAAAAATTCTTCGTGCCCTTTGGGACCACCCGTTTTGGACCAAATCTTTGACTTCTTCTAGCTTCGATGAAACAACTGGAGTACTAGCTGGCTACCCACTGGCTACTCGTTGTTAAAGCAGCTTTAATCATCTTTCATTGACAGAAGTCCTACATTCGTTTCGCCGTACCATGTCCTCTACAAGTTTCTTGCATGCAAAAGATCTTGAACAGATTCGGGGGCATGCGCTCAAGGATGGTATCGGCAGGTAGCCAGCAGTAGTACTCAAACTGCGGAGCCCTTGATACGGCTCTCAAAACAGCTGGTTTAGGCCAATGTCAGTGATTCACGGGTTCAGCTGTAGGTGATCCCAAATGTTCCGTTAGACATATACCTTACTAAGAGCATTAAATAAGAGAGAGGATCCGAAGCTTTGCAAGTCAAGCAATAAGATTTCTCACGAATAGCCGTGCAATACCACAACCACGCAAATTTTACTGAACATCCTATCGGAATGCGTGTTGCGCGATAATCAATACGTTACGCATACAAAGGAAAATATATAGGAACATCATTATATATATGTGCATATATATATGTAGGAGAATTCCACTGAGTGCGTTGCATATTTTTCACGAACTTTGACCATTACACTTGCCAAACCGGCATACCAGTTGTTGACGTGCAAATAGGGAAGATGAGGAGTTCCTTGCTTTTCCTAGATAGAGCATAGCTCCCAAGCAATTAAAAAAAACAAATGCGTGAAAGAACCACCTGGTTCAGCAGCAAATTCAAGCTGTACTTTGGATGAAGTGAATCATGGACTTGGGCCTTAGATGGATTCAGTTTTGACAGCAACCCTTGGAATTCAGCTTCAGCAGGAAGTAGAAACGCAGTCTACACTGAAGCAAACCTCACTACTTTCCAATTCTCAGATCAGGATTACCATTAATGAAGTGCTTAACTAGTAACGGCACCAGCCGCGAAATGCATGACTGTAAGCGGCAGAATTCAAAAATCTATAGCTGGAGCACTTAAGTATTTCAGTTGGGAGGTGATTTGGACATTGAATAGTCAGGCTTGCACCCAGACTACAAAGCTCTGTGCTGTTATGATATGATCGTTTCGTACATGTGAACTACAAATGTGACTATCTTTCTTCCTGATTTGCTAGCTGAAACTTCCGAGGCGGAAGAATTCCTGAAGCGATTTGTAAGTCCCCGTCAAACCCTCGTTCGAATGCGGGGACTGCCTTACTCGGTGAACGCTGAGCAAATTGTAAGTTTCATCATTACCAAATCAATCCCAATGCATTTCATTCGAACCCCGTGTGTTTTGTTCACGTTGTGACTCCGATCCACTTCTTTCAAGGCCATTGTTAAGTTGTTGGTTGCAATCAAGCTCAAAAATCCACTCTTGAAGACAGACGATTCAGTTTGTACCTCACTCATTAAGCGATTACTTAGAGTTCTTCGGATTATCCTTTTCATATAACATTACTTCATTGAGCCCAACTGCGTTTGCTTATGCAAGCTTAGCAGTTTTACTCGAATCCCTTAGTAGGGACTTAATGATGAATATTACGGATGCAGCAGGCACGATCGATCATGTCATTAGATTCACATGCTTAATATCGTTGCACAACAATCACTCTACTTGTGTGGACATCTAAATTGCCCCCGCGATTTTACTTGAGGAAACAATGAGCTGAAGCCATGCCGAGTGCCCATCCTAAGCATATCATTAAGCACTACCATAAAATGCGGAAGAACATCTCGCTATCATGCGATTGGTTCAAGCTCAGAGAGTCAAAATTGTTAACTTATTCTAGTCAGAGCCAATTTGACTTCGCCTGACCTGCGTACACGTAGCACTAGGTAGTCGACACCACAAGGATGGCAGCGCTTACGACTTCTAGTAAACTTGCAAGAATACAAGGATTGCTGAAGCAAACCAGTGCCATAGCTACGCGAATTCGCGGTATGCATTACGTATGAACCCCAACATTTCCACTTATCTGCGAGCTTCTTGAAGGTTGTGTGACGCGCTCTTGTAGAAGATTTGTCAAGTGCTGCAGCTGTATTTCTTACTAAAACACGTCCAGCTGCGTCTTCCAAACGTTCTCTTTGTTTCTGGCCATCGGTTAGGTCCGTTTTTGACTCGTTACCGTCTGGTTAAATTATTATCTTTTTAATACCAGCTTCTGGTGCAGTGGCATCTGCTATTAGTCCAAAACAATCTGATGGCTGGAGCTTGGTCAAACTCGTCGCCGTCGTATGTTCCATCAGCTCTCCGCCGATGTATATCTTCGGGATATCCCACGCTTAAAAGTTCCCGAAGAACTCATGGATAAAGTCAATGAATGCGTCAACTATGTCTTCCTATGATATTAACTGTTTTGTAAGCGCTTTAAAGCACATTTTCGAGTTAGACTACTGCTGTTACGAAGGTGACTGGTTCATGCTAAAAGATTTGGAGTACCGATCCGAATACCTGAAGAAAAGTCACGTAAATGAATGGAAAAGGCGTGTTGCTAGGGTGCACAATTATTCCATGTATTGGCAGAAAATACGACATCGGACAATGCGAAGCTAGCTACGGAAGGATGTGAGGGACCGCGCGAATGAGAGTCATATTCAATCCAATCGTGGCGCCGTATGTGTGCATCGGTATGTGTTGGGTCAGACAAACAAATGCAAAATACATTTCGGCATTCTGCAAAAACCTCTAACTGTACAATTACATGAAAGTTTGTTTAGTATTTTACATCACATGCTCAGGGAATCTCCAAACTGTTGCACAGCAAACTACCGAACGAGAACAGCATTCAAATGCGATAAGATTTCGCTACAATTACGGTAAAGTTCCCTGTTTTCTAGAGCAAATCGACTTTAATGGTAATTACTTTGATGAATATAAATAACTGAGTCTCCTAGTAAATGCGGCCAAAGGGCCTTTTTCACGGCTTTTTCCCAAAGGTTTTTGTGTATTTTTCTCTGTCACGGACTCTCCAGTCTGGTTGCTCGTAACACTCTCTTGGAGGAGCTAATCCCATCAGGTAAGAGAAGATGTATTTACATCATTCTGGACGTTAGGTAATGGGGTTTACTAATTTTTCTTATGGAAGCGGGGCGAAGAGATTTGGCTGTGACATGTTTGGAATATTTTGCAGTACGCAGATCTGTGTTGGTATTTTTACATCTGCACGCCACCACAAAGTCCAGAAGATGCATAGTATATCCACCGCATTAACAATGTGACACGCTCCGGCCGAGGCTTCTATGACGTTCTGGAATTAACATGTTAGTTATGTCATCTATTCTCACTAACCATGCTATGATAGCCCATGTTTATTCCCGGTGGAAGTGGGGAATGCGGATTGCTGTGAACTCGTTTGCGTGCACAGTTGTACATGGTATGGGAAAACCCAAACATTATAATATATGGTCGTATCATCAGTAAAGTGACTCTGAACTGACGGTTTTCCAATTAGCTTCAGTTCTTCGACAACAATCATTGTTCGGTGCAGTTTGGTTCCGACGGTATCTTGTTTGTGAATCGACCCGACGGACGTGCAAGTGGGGACGCGTTCGTCATGTTTGAAACCAACGAAGTTGCTGAGAGAGCCCTGAAAAGTCACCGACAACATATTGGAAATCGGTACATAGAGCTGTTTAAATCCACACCGGCAGAAGTCAACCAGGTGAGTGTTGTAGAGTTTAAGGTGACTATTTTTCTAGTATACAAGGAGCTATCATGTTGGTTTTCTGTCACATAATCTGGTCATCCTGTTGCGCTAATTTGGTGTCAACTGGTTGATCAACCTTCAGGCACCTCCCGCGGTACCTCCCAGGACACTTTGTCGAATACGCCGACGTGTGTAGCCTGATAAACTTACATGCCGAACTGTGCCGCTTAACTCTTTTGGAGCGGCCGGACGTCTTAGGACTTACTGAGACTTTGTTGAACTCTGACGTCATACCACGGGAGGTCGCCTTGCCAGGATAGTCTTGTTTCCTATGCGACCAAAAATCAAAGGACTCACAGTATAATTTGACCTCGTTCACACCGCACCGAACCAATCTTAAGTCATCTATGAAACTCCTAAAATAATTTTAAAGTCCTTAGTTTATCCACTAACTCACGAACAACAGGTTTATCTGGGTTACATAAATACCAGCATGTAGGTTTTTGCTTTAAGGTTCATAGCATTTCGTTTTTTTTTCTGGCCACAACAAATGTCATGTGTTCATGAAGGATACTGATTCATCGACAGACCGAAAAAATGGCAAGTTACGGGCTCCTTTTTGTCCCATGCAATTTGAACTTTTACTCATATTTTTTTCTAATTAATTATGCAATATCATGAAATGGTTTCAACACTATTTGATCTTTCCCTTCCACGAAATTGCTTCGCACATCGTCAAGCAATATAGAATTTATCTTCTTATTGATCCATTTAAGCGGTTTTCTACTAACAAAATCTGATATAATACTTTTCAGTCGGAAGCTGAAATAGTATGCTTGCAGTAACAGAGTGACAGCCAGAGGTGGCAAACATCACTAAGTACCCCTGCCAGCTGTCATTAAAAACTTACAGCGCTTTGTAGGTAGGATTAAGTCCTATCGACGTTTCATTCCGCACTGTTCAGGGCTAGCCCGGCAACTTAGCGATATACTCAAACGGAACAACAAATCATTCAGCCAAGCAGGAATTTAATCACCTGTAAACGCAGTTCGCGCGGACGTATAAATCCGGTCTCGTACTCTAATCGTATTTACTGATACACCTCTCATCTAACACACGTTTGCTTACACGTATCTGATCCATATTCAGCAGCGCTATTTTGTGCATTCCATCTCTCGGATCTAACTTGTGTGGATCATCTATACTTTCAACACCGCCCTTTTTTGCTCCGTTTCTCCGGAAACAGAATGTAGGAATTTTCCGAACCCCAAACAACAAACCAAACTTTTGTTCTCAAACGAAAGCAAACTCAGAGGTCTATACGACGAGCCTCTAACCACAGCAGTCCATAGTTAATCAACTTAGCAACCTGACATTTTGTGCACCCATGTCAGAGCTTAACGAGCAAACCATCCATCGGCTCAGTCCATAGTCTGCCAGTGTTGCACGCACCGAACCAGCTGATCTTGAAAATACAGAGGCAGATAGACAACCACACCAGTGACGGTTTTCGACGACCAATCAACAGCCGCCCCTTATTCTACACCAAGGCTGACAGAAGTAGGTAGGTTTCTTTCATGTCACCAAAAGGTACCAACCGGAATTCAATGCGGAAGCTGCCAACGCAAATACAACACTAAATGTGCAAAGTTCACAGTAAGCCAGTTGAAAGTACATAATAGTAAACCAGATGCTCTATGGTTCTGTGAAGTATGCATGGTTATTCCACTGACAAAGATTGTGCATTGACTAGCGAAGAGGCACTAAAGACTGCTGGCACTCAGTGAAGAATTGCGGCCAATCAAAGTTTATTCATTTGGGGAAACTTTGGCAGTGAGCAAATCCCAGAACGTTTCATTAGGCTCCGCTGCAAAACAGCCGAGGAATGCTAGGCAGAGTATTAAAAAGGCGTCCCCTGTGGCTTTTGAATTCGACGCCAACAGCTGCCCAAATACGCTTAAGACAACCACCGCCAGCCCAATGGGAATAACTACGGTCAGGGCCTTATCCTCCCTCCAAACTATTCCGAAACTTCGGATGGACGTCGACATTGTTGATGGTTGGAACATGATTTCCGCCAAAACCAACCGGAAACAGATCTTTAGTTAACCCCACTGGGCTTAAGGTAAATGATAAGGCAAACTTCTATTTGCACAGCTTTCCCCGTCGAACGTAGACAAGCTGGGCAGCTGACATCAATTCGAGCTACACATAGTGTATCATCGATAATCTGCTCCAACCTTCCAGGGTCAAGGTCAAATACCTTAACATTAAAACAGCTTCATGATGTGAACCAGTGGAAATCCATATGTGACATCATAGGTGTTGTAGTTAAGCCCGCCAAATTAACACTGATCGCGTGTCACCCAAACTCAAAGCATTACGGTGAACCGAGAATTCTCTGCGTCTTATTGACTTCGCTGGTGAAACAGAAGCTATTCTATTGTCGACACCGCGCCTTCGGAATGTGTCATGCTCCGTCCGCATCCTCCTGGATATTCCATGGAGCAAGCGCAAACAGGCGAAGCAAGACTGCGAAGAATGCCGAAAGGAATCTGTGGTTGGGACCAGCCTAGTACACGGTGTTCGGGAGGCTGGAGATCATGACAAGCACGAAGCAACCGCGCACGACCGAGAGCAGTGGTGATACATTCGGGAGACCCAGTCCCTGGAAAATGCCATAACGCAGTCGATCTCAAGGCTACACTAGTCGCGAAATTACAAACGAAATCACCCGAGGATTGTAAAAGTGGTGCTACAAACCAGACAAATGCCAGCTATGGTGGCAGAGAGCTGGTATGCAGGCCGTAGCAGCCTTCTTTTCGTGCTCCGGATCAAAGAAGCTTCCCCTAAGCAAATACACGAAAGCAGCTACTTAGTTGCACCATCTCTAGCTAACTGTTCGGATAACTTCACACAGCTAACCAATGAAACTGGCAAACACACCCCATACACTACAAATACAGAGAAGGGCAAAAGTGTAATGGCGGGATCTCTGGATTTGACACAGCTGAGTTCGTAATCACTCTACCCAAAAAACGATTCTTTGCCGACCTTTCACCGGTCGGCGCAATATCATACCCAATGCGTACATCCCACGACTCATTGTTAAGAATAGAGAAAGTTGCCTGCATGTAAACCCATGCATAATGTCTACTGAGCAAGCTTGCCGGACTGTGGCTACGTCATGTATCATATTCCTGGGCTCCCGTATCAGTAAGGGAAAGCTGGCTGTATTCGGAAATCACTGGCGCTGAGGTCGAGCTGCATGCTATGCCCCTCATTCAAAATGATCGCCGCTGTAAGAGCGGTGGGTAATTTTGTACTACCGTAATGACTTGCAGTGCGAACCGGTGGACGATCCGGAGACGCTCCTCAGAAACTCGCTTTGGTGTAGTCTGCGACTAAGGCGTATCAACACTTGAATTTTGGAAGTTTATCATCCCCCAATGTCTACACCAGAAATGGACTGGCACCTGACATTCTTATTGGAGAGGGTAGTTTGACAACAATACAGCCACGTTCTCTGACGACTTCCAAGTTTACAAGTTGGAAGTTCCTGTTTCGCCAAGGCAGACCTGCAAGAGATTATTGCAATCATTCTGCTCTTTAGCCATGTCAGTTCGTGCACCAGATTCAGCATGGAAATAAGCTATCTGTGCTTGATCTAGTGCTCACGAGCGAACAGATCATGATTGAGAAACTAAAGATGAAGAGCCCAATTGGGCGAAGTGATCAGGTAACAATACTTAACGACTATGTGTGTTATGCGAAATATCCACAAGAACATGGTGACTTGTTTCGAAAAGTCACACACAAACGCACAGAATTTGTTGAGGATATCAGTTTGAATTTTTTGAATCATTTCTCTGTTGATAATATATGGACGGAGTTTGCTGCCAAGTTCGGCGGTCTGATTAGACCCGCATCGTTCTACAAGAGCACAAGGAATCAATAAGAGCAGAACCCGAAAACGCATGGCATTAAGCGACACAGCGTAGCATGTGGATGGGGCGAACCCCAACGCTGAAAACTGGGGCTCATGTGCAGTGCATCGTAATCACTGTACCACACTTGCACGCGAGGACAAATTAGTTCACCAGCAGAGCCTAGCAAAGTTTTGTTCTAACAACAAGCTTCTGTACAGACATGTGAACAGCCTCCGGAATGTGAAGCGTGGTCTTCCCCCACTTACTTCAGCAAATAGTTGTGCCTAAACTGTCGAGGTTGTAGCCAAAGTATTACTACTGCAATATACTTCAGTAGTTCGCTATGCCACCAGCATATGGCACATACCTGTCCCACCCCCGCCAACCAATGGAACAAGGGATCACTGGTGTATTACGGTTAAAAACAGCAATGCTTAACAAGTCCTGTGGGATGGAAATTATTGCGAAAAGTAAATTGCATGATAAAGTGAAAAGCGTTTTTGTGGACTTAGGTTGAAAACCGGATATGTTCGCGTATTAAAACTAGAAATACATAAACGCATTAGTTGGGAGTTTGGTAAGCCATAGTTGATTGCGTTTTGTAGCCCCCTGGTTAACAAGTCATAAAATGAAATGAAAATGAAACAACGCACCGTCAACTCGTTTTTTTAACTATCGCCAGATATGGAGCAGAGACGACAAATTAGGGAGAATGTTCCAAGACTGGTACACCAGGAGGGAAAAGAAATTGTTACGGCATTGAAGCCGGCTATACTGTATTGTCAGTTTCAGAGGATGATCTATTAGGTTAGTGTTATGGTTCAATTCCAAGAGCGGGTTTGGGTTCTTCAGCATCCGGTAAACCATTATGAGACCCCCCCCCCGAAAAGCCCATGTTAACTATTGTACATTCTTAGGGATTTCAATCAGGCTGATAAGGCAGATGAGAGAACCCCTTGACGTTCTTATTTGCCCTTCTTTGAGGAGTCTAGAGAGCAACGAGATCCTGTTTCTGTCACGACTACAACGCCTGGATAGCATATTCCAAGCGCGGTCGCACTTAGGCGTCAAGCATTTGGGGAAAGA